ACATGTTAATAATAATAACAATCGCTTATTGCTAAATGTATAATCAATAACATCATCTGAACAATCAATGCTAGAGTAGACATAGACATATTGTGACACACATCTGGACATACAAACATAATTATTGAACATAAAGAGGCTTTTTATTGTCACTTAATCCTCAAATATGAATTTCATCATTAACAAAGTTTCATAGTTTATTGGCAAATCAGTCCTAAAACCTTTGGCAATACATATACATACAGACACATAAAGATCAAGACAATATCATTACATTTTTGCAATACATAAAATACAAAATCATAAGTAACTGGGTTATGTACGAAGTGAACAAAAATTCTTAATCATGATAATTGTGAAGTTATAACTATATTCTTGGCGTGTAATTAACATTAAGTATGAACTTATCAGAAGTACTAATTCAATAACTATGTAAATGAAATACAATTATTTTACTATGAAGCAGCTAAAAAATTGAAACTTTCGTCTCTTAGTCTTAAACATCGTACACAAATTTTAACAATTTTCTCAATGTATTGTTATTGGTATTAACCAGAAATAGGAGTGAAAATGCCTGTTCAGATAAGATTAATATTGCCAAATGAATTAAATTTGTGCATAGACAATGGTTTATAGTACTATAGTCAAGGAATCTTTAAATTGAATAGATTTTTTCAAACTTTTGCCATGTATATACTAGTATACTCAAAATAAAGCGACCTGTTTCCCTGTCAAGCATCGATGATGCTTTAAATTAAAGGGGGTATGGTATGTTCACGTCGTTTTTTCTTAGATAAATATATACTCCTTTAATAATAACTAATCTTTTAAATTTTTATATTTCATTCCAATACTTTCAAACACGCTATATTACGAGTAATATAAGGTACTGAAAGAAAGTCAATATATCAAATAATATATGCTTCCAAATACATGTATATATTCCTTTCAGCATACTCTTTGTCATGAAGCTATTTTGAGTCTGTTGTTGCAAAGGAAACGATATACAAAATGTAGACTATATGACGGGCTCTGTGTTTATTAAAAACAACAGAAACATTGAAGTGGTCGGTGCAAGAAGGTACCTAACTTCAATTTTTGCTAAAATTGAGTTAGGACCTTTGTGATTTAAAGAACACTTTTTTGAATTTGATTAACCCCCTTTGTTACTCACTTCTTTGTTTTTGATTAAAAAAAAATTAGCAAAGGTCCTAACTCAACATGTTGAGTTGGTACTTTTGTTACATTAATGCTATCTATGTTGTTTGTTTCCATGTGGTTTGTTTTAATGAAAGAATGACAGTCAACAAAATTTGTATGAAAATGTGAGAACATTTTGATTTTATTTCAATATGTGCATGATATTTCACAACAACACTATTTTTTATATGTCTTATCTAAATTATTTGAAGAAAAGTTCACTTGTTTGAAAAATATTACGAATTTTGTGAATCAAAGTGTACATGGAGATAGGACCTTTGTTGTACATATACCATTTCCATCCTTTTTTCACATTTTGTATGAAGACATTTAAGTTTTAAAGATATTGTTTAGAGATTTTCAGTACGAATCACATAAAATATTTAGTTTGAGAGATAAAGTCTAAATGTTAGCATTTAGGATGCTTTAGGTTTGCTATGCAAACAAAAATTGGAGTTAGGACTTTTGTTGCATTGCAACAATCAGTTCTTTTTATCATAAAATGCATCGGAAAAAATACCAAATTTTAATTAAAAATATTCTAATCTGAATCAAGTTATTTCTGGGATTTTGTTTTCATGGCCAGTATTTATTCTTAATTTCTGTACGTTCAAATCATGCTGAGGACTGAGGAAAGCAAAATTTGCCTCTAATACTTTCATTGGATCACACTATTTTTAATTGATGTAACTGATAATTTGACATCTGTATGTCTCATTCTGATGAAAGTTCTCGAAAATAAACAATACCTTTTAAAATTACCAAATGATCAGTTTTATGCTCGATGCCAATTTTCAGACTGTCAACGATATTTTCATATTACTTGTATCCATGGCAGTTTCCCGGATGAAGCTTTAAATCATGCGCACTTAGATGATTTAAGACTTAACGATATTCATTGCCAATATTGTGAGCCTGGTTATGAATTAAAGCATCAACATGGCAGATAATGTACTAGGTCAATTGTCTGGCGAAGAATTTCTGAAGATTACAGAACGTTTGGATAATGATGAATATTACAAATGCAGATGAAAATATAACTGCCCTTGACAATGTTTCTCTAAATATCGAGATTTCTGTAAATGAGTCATTAGAAACAAAAGAAAACAATGAACCTGACAGTGAACAGTTAGAAGGAAATGTCAGCTTCGACTTGAGTGAAGATGATAATTTAATTGATGACTGTAGTGTTTGAATGTACAGAGTAATACTAACTGTTTTAGTCTATTGAAGTATTAACAGTATAGTGACATTTTAGGGCTCTTAAAGTCAGTTGAATACTCTCTTTTTGTGAAGGTTTTTAGCGCAATATTAAATCAGTAAAAAGTAACAGCGACATTCTAGTTTTTCCTGAATAAAATATAAGAACCCAACACAACAGTGGCGACGAGGATCTTTGAAAAACAATTGTCGGTTATTAACTGTTTGATTTACTGAATATTTGAGCAGCAGAATGGCAGTATTCGGGAAAATTGACGAGTTTAACCTGTACGGCGAAAACTGGGACGAATACGATGAAAGGTTGTCTCACTATTTTATCGCAAATAAGATTGATGATGAGGCAATTAAAAGATCTATTCTGTTGTCGGTGGTAGGATCCAAGACCTACAGTTTCATTAAAAATCTTTCCTCACCAGCTAAACCTGGAGATAAATCGTTTGATGAACTCAGAACATTGATCAAGGATCATTTAAAGCCTAAGCCTCTCATCATTGCAGAAAGGTTTAAATTTCATCAAAGGAAGCAGGGCGAGGGGGAAGGTGTGAGTCAATACTTAGCTGAATTGAGAAGGTTAAGTGAGAACTGTGAATTTAAAGACTTTCTTGATGATGCACTTAGAGATCGTTTTGTTTGTGGTCTAGCAACACCTTCAATCCAGAAGAAGCTGCTGTCAGAAGATAAGTTAACACTTAAGAAAGCTGTAGACATTGCAGTATCGATGGAAATGGCTGCAAAAGAAACTGTGAAACTTAAAAACGGTCCTGAGATTGAGGTTAAACATAGTGCAAATAAACTCACAACAAACAAAAAGGAATGTTTTCGATGTGGTAAAAGTAACCATGAGCCAGATGTTTGTTTTCATAAGAAAAGTCAGTGTAATTCCTGTAAACAGTATGGACACTAAGGTAAATGTTGCCCTCAAAAACATGTAAAATCTTATCAAAAGTCGGTACAACGTAGTACATCAAAGCCAGAGCATTCAGGAAGATCCAGACAGAAATTCAAAAAGAATAAATCTAGAGTGCAGTTTGTTGAAAATGCTGAATCTATTTCATCTGAATCTGATGAAAAAGATCAAGATTGGCCATTGTTTACAATGAAGTCACCAAAACAGAAGGAAATAATTGTACATGTCAATATAGGAGGTTATTCTCAGAAGATGGAACTTGATACTGGCGCTTCAGTTTCAATATTGTCAAAGACTGATTATAAAGGACATTTCAGTAACATAGCTCTTAGACCTAGTTCAGTGATTCTGAAAACATATACCAATGAAACTGTTCAAATTTTGGGCGAAATTGATGTAAATGTCTGTTATTGAAGTCAGGAAGCTAAGTTGCCTTTAGTGGTTGTGAAAGGTTCCGGACCAGCATTATTTGGTAGGAATTGGTTATCAGCATTAACTTTAGACTGGGAAAAAATTAAATTCACATCTTTGGATTTGTAAATTATTACCGTCGATTCATCCCAAATATGTCAACTATTGTACAGCCGCTTACAGAGTTATTGAATAATGGTGTTAAGTCGAATTGGACAGAATCGTGCAAAGAAGCATGTGGAACTGTTAAGCAATTGTTGACGTCATTCACAGTCCTTGTAAATTATCATCCGGAGAAAGCAGTAACATTAGCTGTAGACGTGTCACCGTATGGACTAGCCGTTGTTATTTCGCATGAAATGGAGAACGGCTCAGATAGACCTATAGCGTATGCATCAAGAACACTAACTGCGTCTGAGAGAAATTACCCTCAACTTGAAAAAGAAGCCTTAGCCATAATATTCGGTATTCAGAAATTTCATCAGTTCTTGTATGCGCGTAAATTCACTTTGTTGACGAACAATAAACCTTTAAGTCTAATACTAGGACCTAAGAAAGAAAGGCATACCAGTTCTAGCCGCGTCGAGATTACAAAGATGGACAATCCAGTTGTCTGCTTATCAGTATGATATCAAATATTGATCAACAACGAAGAATGGAAATGCTGATACATTGTCACGTTTTCCGCTACCTGAGATTACTGAGGAGTCGAACAATGTGTTGTTTGTGGAAGGCAGCGAAGTAAACAAGGAACAAGTGAATTCTCTTCCAGTTACACCCGATAAAATTGCCAAAGCTTCGCGAAATGATCCATTGTTATCAAGGTTGATACATTTTACAATAAACGGTTGGCCTGTCAAATCTGAATTAAGTGAAGAATAGTTACCATATTATAAGTTTAGAGATGAATTTACCACTGAAGAAAGTTGTTTATTAAGAGGATACGAGTTGTTATTCCACGTACGTTGCAAGAAAGGATGTTAGAAGAATAACATGAAAATCATCCTGGAATTGTTAATATGAGATCTTTAGCAAGAATGCATATGTGGTGGTTGAATATAGAAACTGACTTAAAAAGTAAGGTAAAAAGCTGTATTCTTTGTCAACAGAATAGAAGTCCGATGGCTAAAGCACCGCCTATCCTTGGAGATGGCCTAGTAAATCCTGGCAGCGTATTCATATTGACTATGCTGGGACATTCATGAATCAAATGTTTTTAATTGTTGTGGACGCCCACTCGAAATGGATGGAAGTTCTCAAAATGGCTTCTACAACTACTGAAAGTACTGGTAATGCATTAAGATATGTGTTTTCAGCCTACGGGATAGTGGAGGAGATAGTATCTGACAACGGTCCACAATTTGTCTCTGAAGAATTCCAGAAATTTGTTAAATTAAATGGAATAAATCATATTTGTTCAGCAGCTTATCATCCGAGTTCAAACGGGGAGGCTGAAAGAGCTGTCCAAACTTTTAAAACAACCATGAAAACTATGAATAATGAACCTGGAACTTTGAATCAAAAGATGGCGAGATTTTTGTTATCATATCGTTCCACTCCACACACCACGACACAAGTTTCTCCAGCAGAATTATTTTTTGGACGACAAATTCGAACACGTCTAGATATCATGCGTCCAAACTTAAGTAACAAGGTTCAAAAGAATATCACTCCAAAAGAATCTAAAGTTCGCATATTTCAAGAAGGCGATAGTGTCTGGATTCGCGACTACAGAAAATATATTGAAAAGTGGGTCGGTGGAATCATAGTTCATCAACTTGGTCCAGTAAGTTACCAAGTTAAAGTGGGTGATTTAATTTGGAAACGCCATGTTGACCAAATTCGTGAACGCGCAACTGATATTCCTGTAAGCGAAAGCAATACAAATATACCTATAACAATGCATGCACCATTTGATTCAACTCAGTCAAACCAGGTACAAGACAATTTACCAAATTCTACAGTAGAATCAGCAACAGAAGCGTGTATTCAAACCCTAGTTCAAGCAGAATCACATGAAATCTCAAAGACAGCAAGTCCAGCGATGAAACAATTACCAAAACGTTCGACTAGAGGAATTCCGGCAAAGAAATTAGATTTGTGATTTAAATAGTATATGGCATGCACGTGTGTAAGGGCATAATAATCCCTGTGCTACCATGGAGAACAAAGTTCTCTTATATTCTAGTCATATGTTTAGTTAAAATGTTTGTTTCTTTTTAGTTACAGTAACTGATAAACAATATTCTTAAAATTTGAATAGAAAAAGAAACAGTTGACAGTTTGATGTTACAGTATAAACTTTAATCAGTTTCATGGATTATTATTATCCATAGTAAATAAAAGCTAGACTTTTTATTATTTTTTTCTAAAGGGGGAAAAGTGTAGTGATTGAATGTACAGTGTAATACTAACTGTTTTAGTCTATTGAAGTATTAACAGTATAGTTACATTTTTAGGCTCTTAAAGTCTGTTCAATCCTCTCTTTTTGTGAAGGGTTTTAGCGCAATATTAAATCAGTAAAAAGTAACAGCGATATTCTAGTTTTTCCTGATTAAAATATAAGAACCCAACACAACAATGACTATAACAAAGATCCTGATTATAACCCAAACGTTTCAATAGACTCTCAATAAGATGAGGAAATCAATATGATTTAAATAAGATAATTTATATACATCGAAAAATGGTAACGCATCCGGTCAAATGGACAGTAACAATAAAATATGACGCAAGGTGAAAATGAAACTCAACATACGGAAAATTTAAATATAGGGATAACATCAAGGGGGCGTAAAAGAGTAAGACAACCAGAAAATTAAGCAAGGAACGTTAAAAGGAGAAAGTGCAAAAGAGGCGAAAGTTTTGTCAATTCAAGAGGAAAGCTTGTATGTCAAAAAGTAATAGGTGAACCATGAAATTGTAGATCAAAATGTTTTAGTACATTATCTGAAGACTGCAGAAACAGATTATTCCAGGAATTTTAGGATATTGGTGACTAGAATAAACAAGATGCTTATCTTTTTAGAATAATACAGAAATACCCAGTAAAGAGGAGAGGGACCACAGGAGAAAGAGCAAACTACAGACGTTTTTCTTACAAGTACTTTATTATTGTGAATGATGGTAGCAAGTCTGAAAATTGCATAAGTACAGTTAAATCTATTCATGGAATCGGTTTAAAACGAATTAAAAGAGTAAGACAGCCTATTACAGTTGCGCCTGAAGCTAATAGAGGTCTCCAATCAAAACCGTGTTTGCATAACCACATTTAATGAATATAACTTTTTTTTATAAATAAACTGGTTAAATATTGTGTAAAACAAACAACTTTGGTTTCAAATGATTGTTCAATTATAAATTCACTTACAACTGAACTTATTTTGAAATATTTCAATTAAAACTAAAATTTCATAAAATGCCTTTTTTCTCAAAATGATGTGAATTAAGTTAGGTACTATCTTGCACTGACCCCTTCAATTACCATGACCACAGATCTTACGAGGTTTGTAAATAACATCATACTGAAAATCAGGCTGGCCCATCCCTTGCCGCAGAAGTGTTTTCAAATCACTATTGAGCTTTGAAATTAAATCAAAACTAGAAAAATCGAACGACACATATGCCCCCCCCCCCTTTCTAGCCCTTGACTCATATTATTGGTAATTTTGTTAGAGATACTTGCCATGAATGGGTACATGAAAGTGTTCAATTATGGAAAAAAGAAAAATAATAAATACTTTGTGATAAATAGTTTACAAGATAATGAGACATTTAAGGCCGCTGTGACCTAGACCTTTGACCTAGTGACCCTAAAATCAATAGGGGTCATCTACTATCTATGACCAATCACTATGTGAAATATGACGACTTTGTGATAAACTCTTTACAAGATAATCAGCGGAAACCATTCAGACATTTAAGGCCCATGTGACCTTGACCTTTGACCTATTAACCCTCAAATCAATAGGGGTCATCTACTATGTATGACCAATCAATATGTGAATATGAAGACTTTGTGATAAATAGAAACCAAAATAATAACCGAAAATCATATTACTATTTAAGCCCCCGTGACCTTGCCCTTTGACCTAGTGACCCCAAAATCAATAGGGGTCATCTACTAGTTATGACCAATCAATATGTGAAATATGATGACTTTGTGATGAATACTTTTCAAGATAATCAGTGGAAACCATTTTGACATTTAAGGCCCCTGTGACCTTTAATCTAGTGACCCCAAAATCAATAGGGGTCATCTACTAGTTATGACCAATCACAATGTGAAATATGACGACTTTGTGATAAATACTTTTCAAGATAATCAGCGGAAATTATTTTGACGCTTAAACCCCTTTGACATTGACCTTTGAGCTAGTGACCTCAAAATCAATAACGGTAGTCTACTAGTTAAGACTTATAACTATGTGAAATATGAAGACTTTGTGATAAATAGTTTTCAAGATAATCAGCGGGAACCATGTGGTCTACCGACAGACAGACCGACAGACAGACAAAATGACATTAGCAAAACAATACCCCCCCTCTTCGTCAAAAGGGGGGGGGGCATAATTACGATTGTAAAATTTTGTAACATATTTCCGTAATTTATGATAGTGGTTGCTCTGCTTTAGAAACTTGCTGGTAATGAAAATATCCGCTTGTTGTAATGCTTTACCTTGCTTCAAGCGCTAGCGAATCTAATTAACTGAGAAACATAAACCATATAAGGTGTTGCATGGGGTACGTCTCCATCTCAATGTGGATAATAAGCTATACAAAACTCAAAGTCTTCTCCTTTGTCATAATTTTTCATGTGAATAGAATTGTTGTTGACAGTAATATGAAGATCCAAAAATGATGTACTAAAATTTCAAGAGTTTATTTAGTCGTAGTTCATGGGGATAAATATCAGACACCAATTGATCAAAATAAGAATTATCTTAACCAAACATAACACCAAGGTATCTGGAAGTATTATTAAATGCTACAATACGATTAACTATACTATACGAAGTTCAAATGATTTTCTTCAAGAAAATACATCTTTTTCCAGTTCAATGGAACTAGGTAATAATATCCGATTACTTAGAAAATATCTGGATGTTGACAGAACGCCGAAATGGTAACTATGTTGTAATCCGTATGACAAACAGATCGTGAATGATTTTGTGTATTCAGTCTATTGTGTCAATAGGTGCTCGCCGAAGGAATACACGTCCACGTGGTTTACTACGTGGCCAGGGCAAGCGATGTTTTACACATCACGCAGCAAGTTGATGTTCAAAAACCACATGAGTGCTGACGTAGAACCCGATCAACCGCACTGTGTGAACCGACCAATCAGGAGCGATACGGGTTTGTCCGATGATTCAACTAATATAAAATAGGGATACCGTCAAGGCCAAATAAACAATGATTATTCATGTATTAACATTGCAAACTGTAATACTGTGGGATTAAGTAAACGTGTTGACAATGCTGAACTAATACATGTTTCTCTTCTTTTGAAAGTATTTACCTGTGTGAATCATGGGGAAAATGTGAGTGTAAATTAAGCTCCTTTTTAGGATATGTTATTTGTTTTGAACATGTTAGAGCACAACGTTCTAATCACCCTAGCCATAGCTATCGCAGAAGCGATGGGCCCATCGCAGTGGCGGTGGAGAATCCGTCGCAGAAGCGGTGGATAAAATATGGCCGTTTGAATTTTGTCGATATATGACTGAATTTTGTTTTATGTTTTTATGTTTTACTGGAAGCACTTAGTGAGACTGGAGCCCACATATGTACTTTTTCAACTTATTACACGCATACGGTGCAATTTATTGCCTTTTATGCAAACACTTCTGTACTGTTTTTACGAGCAGACAACACTTTTGCCTAATTTTGGTTAAAACCCGTACAAATGTGTGCAAAACGGCCCTCAAATACAACGGCATCACATCTAATGAATAATACTATCACAAAATAACCATATTTTGGAAATTTGGAAAATTATTATTGCCGTTTTATAAAATAAATGACAAAAATGATTTCAACGCGGACGGCGATGGATTCGATTGCAACGCAGTACCGTGGGCCCGATACCATTTATGTATATTTTGAGGGTTTAACTTGACGTAACGCACTTTTCAATTGATTACAACCCTTTTCTTACTTTGACATCTGAGAAATATGTTTCTATGTTTAAAACGATATTAATTATTATATATACGCTCGTACATATAGATATACGAGTTCCGCTTCCATTTTGCTTCTATTGAAAATTCCTTTGGCCTTTATTATCATGGAATAAGCCACGTTCAACCTTGGACTTAAAAACACCGTAAGTTTCAGGTTCAACATGTTTTTGTCATACAGACATATTCAAGAGATAACATGGCATGCTTCTTGAATACGAAAATCTCAGTTTTGAATGTCACTGTGTTATATTATCATATTTTTAGATAGATTTTATTTTAACAGCGTGAATGCACCATTCCAGTTGAAATGCGCAGTAAAGTAAAACATATATAGTGCCTTTTATCATTATATTTGTATTTCCAAGTTCATATTAGGATCATGCATTTGACAACCCGGACCTAAGAGGACCTGGCGGAAACAAGGACTCATAATATTTGACCTTGATGCACCACCGAAAGGAAATTTAGCGATGCGCAGTGAATTCCCTATGAAAATAACGGACAAAGAAATTTTCATTTGAACGAAAATTGAAGCGGAACTCGGACATCTTTTTGTACGAGTGTATATATAATAATATTGTTTAAAACATCAAATAAACACGTTTCTCAGATGTCAAAGTAAGAAAAAGGTTGTACTCAATTGAAAAGTGCATTACGTCAAGTTAAACCCTCAAAATATACATTATTGGTATCGGACCCACCGCAATGCGTTGTAATCGAATCCACCGCCGTTCGCGTTGAAAACATTGTTTGTAATTTATTATATAAACAGGCAATAATAATTTCCAAAATATGGTTATTTTGTGATAGTATTATTCATACGATGTGATGCCGTTGTATTATCGGATCGTTTTGTAAACATTTGTACGGGTTTTAACCAAAATTAGGCAAAAGTGTTGTCTCCTCGCCAAACTGTACT